AAAAAAAAAAAAAAAAAAAGAAAAAGAAAAGAAAAGAAAAAGAAAACGAAAAACTTCCAATTATGGGGACACTGGGTGATAGTACTTAAAGCAGTTAAAAAAAATTTCCTTCCCATGTTTATTTCTGAGAGCAATGAAGTGTATTATGAATTAAGAGGGAAATTAAAAATATAAACACATTCTCTAGGCCAGTGATTCTCAACCAGGGGTGATTCTGTGCTGTCTGGCACCGTGGGACATTTGGCAGTGTCTGGAGGCATTTCTGATAGTTACCAGCTCCGGGGCATCTAGCAGAGACAGTGATGCTGCTGAACATCCTGTAATGCACACGGCAGCCCCACTGAACCCCAACAAAGAACAATGTGGCCCACAATCTCAACAGTCCCGAGGCTGAGGAACTCCGCTCTGGACCACAGGAGATGTTATTTCAAGTCTGGCTTAGAGGGAGCGTTTTTTGCTGTTCTGCCTTCCGGTAAAGTGAAAGTGATCCTGATGACGGTTAAAGGTCAATGCCAGAGATTTCACTGCTTGCTACAAATACACTGTGAGCTCTTTGAAAGGCCCAGCTAAAGTGGCAGCCAGTCCTGGGCATGGACAATGTGCTGGACAAGGCAGGGTCAGCAGCAGGGCAGAGAAAGCTGTGGGCAGAGGTGAGCAGCCACTAAGAAGCAATATCTGACACTCATTCTTCCAGCGTCATTACTCAGTATTGACACATCTTAGGCATTCCTTAAATATCTACTGAGAAGGGGAAATATAGTACAAATGTTCAACACTAGGGAAATGTATTAGTACATTACAGTCTACTGGAATTTCCATCAATAGATTATATGATGTAATTGTTAAGACATTTCATTATTTTAAAAACTTTTTTTTTGGGACTGAGTCCACGCAACAGATGACTTAGACTTGACATGTCCAGAAAACAGAGTTGTGGTGGATTCTGAGACATGCCCCCAGACCCCCCGTCAGTGCACGACTCTGCCCCAGCTGCTGTACCAGGTATGGTTGGTACCTGTTGGCCTTCATTCCTTAGCCTCTTCAAGGATTGCCTCGGCTACAAAGCGTCCTCTCACCATAGGCTGTGCCCCTTCGGGAGGCGGCCCACATCCGAGGACTGAGAGATGAAGGGCCATTCTACCTGCACACCCTAGAGGGCGTTTCAGGCTGTTGATTGCAGCTCAGCTTCTCCTGCTTCCCAGTCCTGTTTCCCCTCCCCTCCGGCTCAGGTGTCAGTAATCCCAAGGGATAATCCCAAATAAACATCCTGTCCTGAGACTTCATCTCAGAGTCTGCCTCCTGGAAAACCTAACTTGCAACAGAGCTCAGCAAAACGCAAGCTCATTTTATTAAAGAACCCAGATCAAAAAAGAGCTTTATGGGCTAGGCACAGTGGCTCATGCCTGTAATCTCAGCACTTTGGGAGGCTGATGAGGGCGGATCACCTGAGGTCAGGAGTTTGAGACCAGCCTGGCCAACATGGTGAAACCCCGTCTCGACTAAAAATACAAAATTAGCCAGGCGTGGTGGCACACGCCTATAATCACAGCTACACAGGAGGCTGAGGCAGGAGAATTGCTTGAACCCAGGAGGTAGAGGCTGCAGTGAGCTGAGATCGCGCCACTGCGCTCCAGTCTGGGTGAGACTCTGTCTCAAAAAAAATAAAAGCTTTATGATAAATGGATTTCTATAAAATTGCTTCACTCACTGAATGCAGCACAGTTACGGTATCTGCACGTTTCTCAGACAAGCCAAACCTAGCCTGCTCGGCAGCCTCACTGAAGACACTGTTATCAACGGCACCTGGATCTTGGCACCATCCATTCCTGTGTGAAACTCTTTTAGCTCGAGGAAGTGAATATCATTGCCAGCAATCAGGATAACAGACTACCCAAATTGTGCTGCACAGAGATCTGTTGATACCAATTTTACAAATAGTCAATGGCACTGAATTACATTAGTCCAGTTTTCAAAGCTGAACTAGATGTTTAGAGGGTCAAATTATAAGTCACAGTTTTCACATTAGATAACAGGTTGAGAGTCTAGGTTTGATAACAATCCTGTATTCAGAGGAGGTAACTTTTACAGCACTATAAAAACTAAGGAAATTACCACAGCTTATCACTGGAAAGACTGTAACAAAACAGTCGTTTAGCACTGACTGGCTCCAGTGATTCCAAAGGTCAGGCCACTAACAACTCTAGAACCATTCCTGGTTTCTGTGTGTGTTCTGCGTCACTGAGCCAGCCACTGCTGCTGCTGTTAGGCAAGAAGGTTGCTACCAAAGGACATGGTTTTGTCTTTCACCTAGGAGACGGCACTTTGGGTATGTCCGTAATCACTATTAAAACGGATCTTTGAAGTACAGTCTACGGTAAGGGACACTCACTAAGGTGGAGATTTTGATGAGCAGAGGTCATCATTTCATGCATGAGTGCAAGGTCAAGCACAAGAACCTCAGTGAGAGCAAGAGGGCTGCAGGGCTTGTGACCGTGGTGTGTGCACCTTCTTCAGCACCCTCCATGCCAGGATGAGGCTGATTCTGTCTGTGAAGGAATCAACTCCTATACTTTTCTTGTTGTTTTTTTGAGTCTTGCTCTGTTGCCCAGGCTGGAGAGCAGTGGTGCAATCTCGGCTCACTGCAACCTCTGCCTCCCAGGTTCAAGCAATTCTTCTGCCTCAGCCTCCCAAGTAGCTGGGATTATAGGCATGCACTATCATGCCCAGCTAATGTTTGTATTTTTAGTAGAGACGGGTTTCACCACCGTTGGCCAGACTGGTCTTGAACTTCTGACCTCAAGTGATCTACCTGCCTTGGCCTCCCAAAGTGCTGGGACTACAGGTGTGAGCCACCACACCTGGCCTAATTACAAAGACATTTCAGAAATGTGCGAAAGAGTTTAAAATACAATGGTAAGTAAACAAAGCTGAACACAAAATTATATGTTAATGTCTTGAATGACCAAATACAGAATGGACGGGAAGAGGGAAGGAGGCGATTGCTAGGCGAGATACGAGGGAAAGCCTTTTACCTTTTAAGATTTCCTTTACATTGAAACATTGCAGGCTTTTTTAATATTTACAACTTTTATATATATTCAAAATGTAAGAGTTGAGGACCAATAGCCAAAAAAAGTCTTTCTTTTTGGAGACAGCGTCTTGCTCTGTCACCCCAGGCTGGAGTGTACTAGTGCAAGCACGGCTCACTGCAGCCTCCAACTCCTGCACGCAAGCAATCCTCCTGCCTCAGCCTCCCGAGTAGCTGGGACTACAGGCATATGTCACCATGCCTGGCTAATTTAAAATTTTTAGTAGAGACAGGGTCTTGCTGTGATGCTCAGGCTGGTCTTAAACTCCTGGGCTCAAGCGATCCTCCTGCCATGGCGTCCCAAAGGGCTGAGATTACAGGTATAAGCCACCTCGTCCAGGCTCAAAATGTCTTCTTTAAAGATGATTTCGCTTCTGTACAATTCAGAAGGTCACAGAAGGCTGCCACCCCAGCGTGTGCGTTTGTTGCCCAGCATAATGGTGCACTTATCACTTTAGAGCAATCAATCTTTGTTCCCTGTGTATGATGATTAAATGTATTCACCTGTCCTAGTATTACATTGTTTGCTTCCTAACAAGAAAACCAAATTTGGCTCTGAAATTTTTAAAAAATGTTAATTTGCCGTTAAAGTTTTTCTTCCATGAACATTAAAAGGTCTTTTAAAAAAAAGATGCCAGACTAGATTCCAGAGTGACTTTAGTGACTTAAAGTCAGAATCTAAACATCACGAAGTGAATTTTTAGGTACATGTTACTTTTTTTTTTTTTTTTTTAAAGACAAGAGTCTCACTCTGTCGCCCAGGCTGGAGAGTAATGGTGTGATCTCGGCTCACTGCAACCTCTGCCTCCCAGGTTCAAACGATTCTCCTGTCTCAGCCTCCCAAGGAGCTGGGATTACAGGCACCCGCCACCACGCCCGGCTAATTTTTTTTTTGTATTTTCAGTAGAGGTGGGATCTCACCATGTTGGCCAGGCTGGTCTCAAACTCCTGATCTCATGATCTGCCCACCTCGGCCTCCCGAAATGCTGGGATTATAGGCGTGAGCCACCGCACGCAGCAGGTATATGCTAATTCTTAAATGGGAAAGAAACAGTAACCTTGGGAAGAAAGACTTCCCAAATATAAGAACAAAAAAGGAATGAACAGAAGAGCTCACCGGGAGTTGTTATGATGAATATTGCATGCTCGGGCCATTAGCGCCACAATAATTGGTCGAAAGGCTTTCCCTTTTCCATCAAAGTAGTACTCAGACATTTCCTTAAGTTCTGATGTTGATATAAGCAGTTCCTGAAATAAAGTTTCTCTGTGTCACAATGGCATCAAAACTGCACAGAAAGCCATCAGGATTCTTTTTTTTTTGAGATGGAGTTTCGCTCTTGTTGCCCAGACTGGAGTGCAATGGCATGATCTCAGTTCACTGCAACCTCCGCCTGCCAGGTTCATGCGATTCTCCTGCCTCAGCCTCCCAAGTAGCTGGGATTATCCGCCACAATGCCTACTTTTTTGTATTTTTAGTAGAGACAGGGTTTCAACATGTTGGCCAGGCTGGTCTCAAACTCCTGACGTCAGGTGATACACCCGCCTCAGCCTCCCAAAGTGTTGGGATTATAGGCATGAGCCACCGTGGCTGGCCAAGATTTCTACTACAAAACTTTGGTTTAAGTGTATTCATTTCAATTGAGAAATTCAACACTCCGTGGGCAAGGCTCCCACGCTGCAGGGCCATCCACCTGGCTGTCCTGAAGGCTAGACATAAACAACGCCTGGATCAGCAACAAGTGGCCTGAGTGCTAGAACAGATACTGCCACCTGCCCCTGCTGATAGCATCAGACACCAGAAGACTCCAAGAGACAGCAGGAGAGGGAAGAAAGCACTAGGTGGCTAAGGGACTCTGGGCTCATTGACAGCCGGACAGCGAAAGGAACAGGGGCTGGTTCGCAGCTTGAAAGATGGAGGCGGGAGGAGAAAGATGGGGAAGGTGGAAGCCAGTGGCCGTCGGGAGCCTGTGAAGCAGGTGGGGGGTGTCGGTGTCCTGGGTAGGGTGGCAACATTGTTTAAATTTTTCAATTTTTTAGAGACAAGGTCTTGCTTTGTCATCCAGGCCTCAGGGCAGTGGCACGATCGTAACTCACTGCAGCCTCAAACTCCTCAGGGCAAAGCTGTTTATGAGGGGCAGGAAGATAGTAAGGTCACAGCCAAGGAGAAGAAGCAGGGCTCAGTCCATCTGGCTTTGCCTTTATTTGGCAAAAGACATTTTGAGGGTTCACAGAGGCCCATGTAAGTGCATAGAGCCCATATAAGGCATGGGCTGCCTGATTATAAGGAGCCTACAATTGAACTGGAGAGAGAAACATTTTGCAAATATGAAACAATCAATGACGAATCCAGTGGTAGCATGAACAATGCTATACATTGAACACATTAAAAGTTCAGGGAAGGAAGAGATCAGTGCAGGCTAGAAAAACCGAGTATTTCATGGAGGAGATGGGCTTTAATGTGGGATTAGAAGCCTAAACAGGGTTCTGACTCACAAAGAGGGCGAGAGCCTTCCAGCTGACAGGTATGTGTCGCTTGTATCTGCCACTCCAGGACATGCTTGACTAACTCAGAGTTTATCCCCCGGACGCAGTGGGAGCCAATGAACCCTCAGCCCAGCACAGGTGAACACAACAAAGTGGGCCCATCGTTAATTCAGCAAATTACCGACTTAGTGCCAGGCACTGTAACAGACACAGAGGTCAAAAAGGTAAGACAAGCCTTGCCTACAAGGAGCTCAGGGTCTAGATGGGGAGAAGTAAAACAATCACTGCCTTTGACACAACACAGTGTGATGGGTGCGGTGCTGTCACCCAGGTAAGCCGTCCCCTTGGAAGTTGAGACAGGAAGGAGAAGAGCACAAACAAAAGGACTAGGGGCATGGAATTGCCTGGCCTGTGGCAGTGGGGACTGACAAAGGGCAGACTAGAAGCATATGGAGGGGAAGGAGAGAGACAAGTCCTGGGTTCTTCCCAGATTCTCCAAGGAACAGGAAAACAGCAGAACAACTCGTGGGGGAAAAGTAGAGTCTCAGCTGAGTTAAGTCTGAGACCGTCATGGCCGCCCCATGGCGTTCCCGGTGAGCAGTTAGCTACCTGGGTGTGGGAAATGTGATTCAACCTGGAGTAGTGATATTATTTGGGAGACGTAAGTATGGACACGGGTATATAAAGAATAGAGAGAGGAGGGGGCCCATGGAACCCCAGGGAATGGCAGAATGAAAGGAAGTGAGGTGGAGGTGTTAAACTGAAGAACATTCTCAGGACAAGGAGGAAGAAGAAAGTGCAGCATGAAGGGAACCATGTTTCAAGGAGGACTTACAGTCAATAGTGCTCAATGGTCAGAAAACCAGGAAGTGTCTGCTACAGTAGGCAGCTAGTCAGGTATAAGCAGGGCAGGAGGGGGCTCCCCGACCCACAACAGGAAGGTCAGGTGACCATCAGGTGATGGTCAGGCAGTTGTTAACTGTGTCTCTAAAATACTAATTGGTCACAGCTGGTGCCAAGGGACGGCAGTCTCTCGATAGAAAAACCTGAAACTGGTGATCAGCTTCCCAATAAGATCTCAGGAGTTGGGTGAGTCGGCTCAACCATGCACACTAAGAGGCAAAATGGCAGAGCTTAATTGGTATATGTCCTTCTAGGAACACCGGGACTGGTATGGGAAGAATGCCTCAAGTGAGCATGCGCAAAACTCCGGTACCCACACTGAGCATGCTCCCCTCAGAAACACTGGCGCGTCACTGCGCATGCGGGCAGCCCATCCCAAGAGAAGAATCCGGGGAGACCGGATGCAAGTCCCTGGAAGTATGCCAACATCTAAAACCCAAATTCCAATCTCAAACCACACACTTGATTTCTCAGGTCACCAGCTTGGCCCTCTTCCAAGTGTACTTTACTTCCTTCCCTTCCTGCTTTACACTGTTCTCTCCTGCTCTAAAACTCGCCTCCAGTCTCTCCTTCTGCCTTAGGCCCCTCAGTCGAATTCTTTCTTCTGAGGAGGCAAGAACTGAGGATGCTGCAAACCTGTACAGATTTGCTGCTGGTAACACATCCATTGGATTGAGCACAGGGAAGCTATCAGTCACCCAAGCAAAACCAGCTTCAGAGGACAGGCTGGAAAGGGGGGCCCAGTGCAATAGTGGAGGGAACTTGAAGGCACTGGAGAGAGGCAGAGGGCAGGGGATTCCGTGACGGAAGGGAGGGAGTGAAACACTGGGTCAGTGGATGGGCCTTTTAAAAATGCAGGTGAAGAAACTGAACACCCAATGGATATAGAAGAGAACATGCCAATGAAAGTTTGCAGACAGAGGGAGAGGCCATGTCTGGGGAAGTTCCTAAGGAACTGGGGAAGTGGCTAAGGGATTACCCCTAGAGAGGGAAGGGACATGACTTCCATGGGTGGGAGGAGAGCAGGCAATCGCCAGAGAAGGCGCAGGCAAGCTGGCCAATTGCAACAGAACAGGAGCTGAAGGAGTTCTTCTTCCACGGCCCCTACTGTCTATGAAACAGGAAGTAGTGTTGTCATCAGAATATGACAGTCGTCAGTGTACTGGGGACTTGAGGAGGAAAGGAGAAAAGTGGGGACTTGTAAAGGGTGAGCAAGCTGAGGGGGGGCATACAGACATTTCTGGGAAGCATTTTATTCTTTTATTTATTTATGTATTTATTTATTTTTTGAGGTGGAGTCTCGCTCTGTCACCCAGGCTGGAGTGCAGTGGCGGGATCTCAACTCACTGCAACCTCCACCTCCTGGGTTCAAGCAATTCTTCTGCTTCAGCCCCCATAGTAGCTGGGATTACAGGCGCATGCCACCACCCCCAGCTAATTTTTGTATTTTTAGTAGAGATGGAGTTTCCGCCTCCTGGGTTCAAGCAATTCTCCTGCTTCAGCCTCCCAAGTAGCTGGGATTACAGGCGCATGCCACCACCCCCAGCTAATTTTTGTATTTTTAGTAGAGATAGAGTTTCACCATGTTGGCCAGGCACTTGAACTCCTGACCTCAAGTGATCCCAGCCTCCCAAAGTGCTAGGATTATAGGTGTGAGCCGCCGTGCCCAGCCAATTTTTTTCTAAAGACAGAAAAAATGTCTTGCTCTGTCACTCAGGCTGGAGTGCAATGGCGGGATCATGGCTCACTGCAGCCTCAAATTCCTGGGCTTAAGCAATCCTCTTGCTTTGGCCTCCTAAATTGGTGGGATTACAGGCACGAGCCACCGTGCCCAACCACGTGAGGTTGGGAACTACTGAAAGTTTTCAGGAAAAAGAGTTGAATGAAGACAGCCATATTTGGGGCAGACTGGCAATGACATTCAGAATTAGATAAGTAAGAGACAGCTGGAGTCACTGGGAGGTGGTGGGTTTTAAGAGGAAAGGTGGGATAACTCATTGGACAAGTATGAGCTACCTGGACCATTTTTTTTCTTCAGGTTCACAATCCTGCCATAACCTCTTTATGGATATTAATACATATTGCCTGGCACTGGGTCACATGTGGTTCTTGCTCAAGAAACATTTGAAACTTGACCATACATGAATCAAGACTGCAAACTGCATTGTACAGATGTGAAAACCTGCATTGTTTTTTTGTAATCCCAGCACTTTGGAAGGCCAAGGCGGGTAGGTCACCTGAGGTCAGGAGTTCAAGACCAGCCTGGCCAACATGGCAAAATCCCATCTCCACTAAAAATACAAAAACTACCCAGGCGTGATGGCACACGCCTATACTCTCAGCTACTGAGGAGGCTGAGGCAGGAGAATTGCATGAACCCTGGAGGCAAGGGTTGCAGTGAGCTTAGATTGCACCACTGCACTCAAGCCTGGGCGACACAGTGAAACTACATCTCAAAAAAAAAAAAAAATTATTATAATAATAAAAAATAAAATAAAATTTTAGTAAGTTTTGGTAAGCTAAAACATTACATCACAGCAGAATAAAAAACTCACCTTTCTAATGTCCTCATACAGACCTTTCAAGTCTCTCCAACCGAGTTTGAAAGGATCGGTGTATTTTTCACCACTGTGTGTTTTACTGTCCGGGGTTGTGTGATGAAACCTGGGACATGCAAAAATGCACATGACTTCATTTTCAAGTAAGTTTTATATACATATATATTTAGTAGACTCAGATATGGAAAATTCAGCCCAAATACTTGCTAGAAATTAATCATGAATCTGAAAAGGTCATTATGATTTGGAAAAACATACAGAATTCTGTTCTTGCTAAATGACAGATCAATAGATCACTTTTATAAATGGGACCTCGAGAACCCACAAATTCAAAGATAAACTAAACTATGTTCATTGTGTTCTGCGTTGAGCTCAAACTTTATTACATTCCTGTTTTTTGAAAAGGCAGAGATCTACAATTTAGAATAGAAATTTACAGGCAATATAATTAACAATTTTAGGCCGGGTGCTTATGTCTGCAATCCCAGCACTTTGGGAAGCTGAGGGTGGGAGGATCGCTTGAGGCCAGCAGTTCAAGACCAGCTTGGGCAACATAGTGAGCTCCCCATCACTACAAAAAATTTTTTTAATAACAATAAATTTAAAAATGGGTAATTTTAGTAGTTGCAGTATGGACTGTAAACTTACCGTGATATACTATATACATTTGGACAGGCAGATGTTAAATGCTTCACAAGATTAATATAGGGTATCTATAAAATAAAAATGTCAAGAAATTTGTAAGAATATTCCTGAAAAACTAACATTGGATGATAATACCCCCATAATTATAATCTTTATCTTCTAATCACCCATTTATAGGCAGATTGCAAACTTTAGAGAAAGAATAATTTTAAAAGTTTCCTTTTGTTACTACAAAATACTTGTCATTGCAGAAAACATAAATAAGAAAAAAGGAGAAAATAAAAACCATCTTCAGTCCATCCCTTGCCCCAAAGAAAGTCAATTTCCATATTCATATCTATCTTTCCAGACCTGAAAAGTAGTTTTAGAACAATTTCCTTCCATTTAACTAAGACTGGTCAGAGGAAAAAGATTTCAATGGCAAGGAAGGAATTTATATTTATACAAACACTGTCTATTTTAAGTTCTTGTTCCTCAACATACTTTGGAAATGGTACTTTTGGATAAATATTGTCAAAAAAAACCAACCCACCTCAGGACATTTTGATATTACACATGGGAGAACAGAGTTTGAAAGCACATAAACCAGGGTGTTAAAAGTAGTTATTCTGGAATGAATTGGATTGTGGGGGTGTTTTGTTTTATTCCTTCTTTTGGTAGATATTTTCTGATTCTTCTCTAATGAACATGTATCGCTCTAGCCATAGTATAATGACAATGAAGGTTGACTTTGCCAGGCAGCAGTCAAAGTAGTTGGTCTGAGTTTCCTTCTTTCCCTGGCAGCATTACGTATTCATTAAACCAGTAAGAACTTTCATGATGTCCCAGGCAATTACCATGTAACAAGAAAACAAAGTGACAATCCTTCCTCATGCTTTACATGACAACCTATGTCTTTCAGTCTACCTGGGTAATTAATTCATATGAGTTCAGTATTTTATTACAATACTTATCAATAAGGGCATCTTAATGGAAGAGTAAAAGTTCTTCAGTAAGAGACTTAATAATTATTATCAGGTCTCTAGTAATAGTTATTATTATTAGAAATCCTGAGCAAAAGTGATCCTCCTGCCATGGCCTCCCCAAGTGCTGGAATTACAGGTGTGAGTCACTGCACTTGACCAAATAACTATAATTAGTTATAATAACTAACTGAACTATTCTAACTGAATAACTTTTTAGTTCAGTTAGAGAACTCTAATCTGGGTTGAAGGATTAAAATTACATAGCTAATTAGTACAGGGGGCGCTTTTTACCACCGAGTGGCCTAAAATTTATTAGTAGCATGGACTTTGGAAGACAGATCTCGATTCAAATCTCAACATTTGTGTTACTCTGTGACGTCTTTCTGATAATACCCACTCATGGAGACAGGTGGAGATTAATTTAGAGAGCATATATAAAGCTCTTAGCTCAGAGCCTAGTACACAGTATACATTATATCTATTCAATCAAGCTACTATTTTCTGCTTTAAAAGTACTTTAGAGCAGTTTTCCAATGTGAGGTTAGAAGTGCTCAGAAAAGCAATGAAGTATGAAAAGAGAAGGGCAATAGTCATTTTCTAATTCCGATTTTGTTCCTTACCTTTCCCTCATACACTCTCTGAAAGTCAACCTTGCCTCTCATGAATTTACTTTTATTTTATTTTTCCAGGCTGGAGTGTAGTGGTGCAATCATAGTTCACTGCAGCCTCAATCTCCTGGGCTCAAGCTATCCTCCCACCTCAGCCTCCTGAGTAGCTGGGACTACAGGGACATGCCACAACGCCTAGCTGATTTTTAAAATTTTTAGTAGACACGAGGTGTATCAGTACATTTTCTCATTGCTATAAAGAAATACCCAAGACTGGGTAATTTATAAAAGAAAGAGGTGTAATTGACTCACAGTTCTAAACGGCTGGGGAGGCCTCAAGAAACTTACAATCATGGCAGAAGGAAAAGGGAAAGCAAGGCACCTTCTTCAATAGGCAGCAGGAAGGAGAATGAGCACAGGAGGAACTACCAATCACTTATAAAACCATCAGCTCTTATAAGAATTCACTATAACAAGAACAGCATGGGGGAATCTGCCCCTATGATCCAATTGTCTCCACCCAGGCCCTCCCTTGACACATGGGGATTAAAATTCGAGATGAGATTTGGGTAGAGACACAGAACCAACCGTATCATTCTGCCCCTTGCTCCTCCCAAATCTCATATCCTCACTTTTCAAAACCAACCATTCCTTCCCAACAGTCTCCAAAAGTCTTAACTCATTCTAGCATTTAACTCCAAAGTCCAAGTCCAAAGTCTTACCTGAGACAGGTCAAGTCCCTTCCACCTATGAACCTGTAAAATCGAAAACAAGTTAGTTACATCCAAGATACAATGGGGGTACAGGCATTAGTTAAATGTTCCCATTCCAAATGGTAGGAACTGGCCAAAACAAACGGGCTTACAGGCCTCATGCAAGTCCAAACTCAGCAGGGCAGTCATTACTTAAAGCTCCAAAATGATCTTTGACTCCATGTCTCACATCTAGGTCACACTGATGCAAAGGGTGGGCTCCCAAGAACTTGGGTAGCACTGCTTCTGTGGCTTTGCAGGGTTCAACCCCCACCACTATTCTCATGGACTGGCATTGAGTGCCTGCAGCTTTTCCAGGTGCACCGTGGAAGCTGTTGGGGGATCTATCATTCTGGGGTGTAGAGGATGGTGGCCCTCCTTTCACAGCTCCATTAGGCAGTGCCCCAGCAGTAACTCTGTGTGGGGGCAGCAACCCCACATTTCCCTTCTGCACTGTCCTAGCAGAGGTTCTCTAAGAGGGTTCTCCCTCTTCAGCTGACTTCTGCCTGGGCATTGAGGCGTTTCCATACATCCTCTGAAATCTAGGCAGAGGTTCCTAAATTGTTGTCTTCTATGCACCTGCAGGCTCAACAGCATACGGAAGCCACCAAGGCTTGGGGCTTATACCCTCTGAAGCAATGGCCCAAGCTGTACCTTGGCCCCTTTTAGCTACAGCTGGGAAGCAGGGCACCAAGTCCCAAGGCTGATCTTGCACAGCGCAGCAGGGCCCTGGGCCCAGCCCATGAATCCATTTTTCCCTCCTAGGCCTCCTGGCCTGTGATGGGAGGGGCTGCAGAGCAGGTCTCTGCCGTGCCCTGGAGACATTTTCCCCATTCTCTTGGCTATTAACATTGGGCTCCTTGTTACTTATGCAAATTTCTGCAGCCAGCTTGAATTCCTCCCCAGAAAATTCTTTTCTATCACATCTTTAGGCTGCACATTTTCCAAACTTTTATGCTGTACTTCCCCTTTAAATTTAAGTTCCAATTTCAGATGTCTCTAAAGCTCAAAGTTCCACAGACCTCTAGGGTGGGGCAAAATGCCGCCAGTCTCTTTGCTAAAGCATAGCAAGAGTGACCTTTGCCCAATTCCCAGGAAGCTCCTCATCTCCATCTGAGACCACCTCAGCCTGGACGTCATCGTCCGTATCACTTTCAGCATTTTGGTCAAAGCCATTCGACAAGTCTCTAGGAAGTTCCAAACTTTCCTACATCTTCCTTTCTTCTTCTGAGCCCTCCAAACTATTCCAACCTCTGCTTGTTACCCAGTTCCAAAGTAATTTCCACATTCTCAGGTGTCTTATATCAATGCCGACTACTTTGGTACCGATTATCTGTATTGGTCCATTCTCACACTGCTATAAAGAAATTACCCATGACTGGGAAATTTATAATTATAGGAAAGAGGTTTAATTGACTCACAGTTCTGGATGGCTGGCGAGGCCTCAGAAACTTATAATCATGGGGAAGGAGGAGAAACAAGCACCTTCTTCACAAGGCGGCGGGAGAGAGAATGAACACAAGAGGAACTACCAAACATTTATAAAACCATCAGATCTTGTGAGAACTCCCTATCATGAGAACAGCATGGGGAAATCCACCCCCATGATCCAATTACCTCTACCTGGTCTCTCCCTTGACCCTCCCTGGTCCCCAGTTGTAACTGGGGATTACAATTCGAGATAGATGTGGGTGGGGACACAGAGCCAAACCATATCAGGAGGTCTCACTAAGTTGCCCAGGCTGGTCTCGAACTCCTGAGCAAAAGCAATGCTCCTGTCTCAACCTCCCAAAGTGTTGGGATTACAGGCGAGTCACCACACTCAGCCAAAGAGAAAGTGCTAGGTAAGAATCAAAGACATAGCCGTGTGCCAATCCTCAAGCATGGGGGATTGCTTGAGTCCAAGAGTTCAAGACCAACCTGGTCAACACAGAAAGTCCCCATCCCTAAAAAAAAAAATTAAAAAAAAAAATCAAAGATATACTGAGAAGTGATTTGGCATGATCACATGCACACTGGTTTTTATTCTATTACAATATTTGTTCACACTACTAGTGAAGTCAGGAGAATGTACAACCATTAGGAGGTAGTAGAGCTCTGGTGGAGAGCAAGACTTGGCTTAATTATTGCTGCTATTTGTCCCTGTGGCTTAGTTATTGTAGTTCTGTGTCCCCAAGGACTATCAGGCCCAGAAGAAACCAAAACATACATGCTTGAGGCAGACACCAGAATGCTAACATATTAACGTACAGTGAAAGCATCACTGACACACACACATCAGAAATACATGGTCTTGGCATCACGAGTCCACACAATCCCTCCTTGTCATCATTCGGGCAGACAGGAAGGTCATAAAGCATATTCTCTCCAGAAAAGCACCCTTTCCCTGGCTAAAGTTGCTTGATGGGCATGAAATTTTTTTCAAAAGAAGTGTCAGGCCAGGTGTGGTGGCTCATGCCTATAATTCCAGCACTTTGGGAGGCTGAGGGGGGTGGATCACTTGAGGTCAGGAGTTCCAGACCAGCCTGGGCAACACGGTGAAATCCCATCTCTACTAAAAATACAAAAATTAGCTGGGCCTAGTGCTGTACGCCTGTAATCCCAGCTACTTGGGAGTCTGAGGCAGGAGAATTGCTTGAACCTGGGAGGTGGAGGTTGCAGTGAGCCCAGATTCCGCCACTGCACTCCAGCCTGGGAGACAGAGTGAGACTCTGTGTCAAAAAAAAAAAAAAAAAGCATGTAGTGGCATAAGAGGGTGGATGCACCCATCTCTTCAAATACTGGCCTCATCTGTGGAACTAGAAATATCTGAAGTCTGGAGAGAACAGTCCTGAAATGGATCCCAGCAAAGCCTCCTTTAAGCCTCTTTTTCCACGTGCCCCTCACCCTCCCCATTCTGTTCTCTTTACTGTCTAGCCTTGTCTAGTTGCCCAGCTGCCATTTGGTCTCCAAATGTCTTTTTTGCTTTTGACTTTTTAGAGATAGGGTCTCACACTGTTGCCCAGGCTGGAGTGCATTGGCACTATCATAATAAATAGCTCACTGTAATCTTGAACTCCTGAAATCGAACGATCCTCCTCCCTCAGGCTCCTGAGTAGCTGGGACTACAGGCATGCACCACCACACCTGGTGATTTTTTTTCCATATTTTGTAGAGACAGAGTCTCGCTATGTTGCCTAGGTTAGTCCCAAACTCCTGGCCTCAACCGATTCTTCCACCTCAGCCTCCCAAAGCGCTGGGATTACAGGTGTGAGCCACTGCACCTGGCCCAAGCCTCGTTTTGGATAATTTGTGATATGCATCCACTTTGGTACAAAGTAGATATTTATAAGTGTTATATATTTCATACTGGGAAATTATGTTTGATGAGAACACGGACACAAAATCTGAATTTAAAGAGTACTAAATTCAAATAAACTTAAATAACAGTGAGTCCATAGATTTTGTACGGTTATGCTAATAGCATGGGCCTACCCCATGGCACACTGAGAATCATCACAAAGTGCAGAAGGGCTCACAGGGGCTAAACTGACCAGAAGTGGAGAAAAAGGAGATTGGAACCCAAAGGCAGCAGAGGAGACCCTGAGAGAATGGGCTATCGCTGAGACTCTGACTTTAGAGGACTCCAGGGTTTCTCACCTCCTGACGGCCTCGGGCCTTTCTCCTTCCAGTGCCATTCCAGCCCCATCCAGGTATGCTCTCCTCCCGAAGCCACTGCTGGACACCTAAGGTCCGGTCCACCCTAGCACCAGCCCTGCATTCTCCACAAGACCTTTTCGGACTATTCCGAGGCCGATTTGATCCTCCGTTTCTCGGAGACAGCTCTGAGCACCTTTGACTCTAAAATTTCAGGCAAGATCTGTCTTCCTCTAACTTGAAAGTAAACAGCTGCAGCCGCTCTCCAGGCTTAACCTTGTCCATATCGCAGCAGTCAATCTGATCGCTCCCGCGCTTCCCCCAGGACCCGGCTACCACCGCTTTTTCCACTGCCCCAAACGCTCCCGGGATGCCCAAGACACTGCTTTCTGCAACCCCGTGTAGGGCGCCCCTACTTCAATCCAACGCTCGGCTCCGTCATACCGCGGGCACCCCTCCGCTCTGGAGTCCCACCCCGGAGCTACCCCGTGCGCCCCCGCGTCGCGATGCACGTGCTCCCTGCTCCCATTCATTCCGCCGGGCGCTGTCATTGGAGCCGTGACCTCTGAGCCCCGCCGGGCGCGCGCCTCCCAACCTCACCTGCGCGTGGGCGTCCGCAGCTGCCTGCGGCCCCCGCGGTCCCGCAAGGCCCGGGCAGCCGGGCCCGGGGCTCCGCGCCGCCGGCCTCCAGGAGCAGCCGCGCAGCCACCGCCACCAGCGGGAGGCCATGGTCGCAGTCTGAAAGTCGCGGCAGGACGCCGGCTCCGCCTCTGGTCCGCGATCCTCCTCCAGGGACCCGGAGCCGGAAACCTGGCACAGGAAGCGCTTCGGCCACACCCGGGCCCGCGGTTCGCTCCTCCCCGCGTATGGCCCGGCTGCCAGCGCCGGGACCTCGGGTACCTGCCACTCCGCAGCCAGCGGTGACCGCGGCCGCTCCCGGGAGGCAGCGGGGCAGGGGCGCACGTAGACCCGGTCTAGGGACCCCGGGCGTGACCTTCCCCGGGGCAAGCCTCCTATCCCCACCCCTTCCCGGAAGCCGTGCAGGGGGACTGGCCACGCCTCCAGTCATAGCAAAATGTCCCTGTGGGGACCTTTTATTAGCAAGAAATAGCACCGCGCGCGACTCTTGCAGTCACTAACTCTTGTTCTGCGTGTTTAGGCAGAAACATAACTCAGAGAATCGGGTTCCCGCTCCGCAGCCTAAGCCAGAGGCGACGGTTTCCGCCACGCTATGGTCGGCTGCCTTTGCAATCTGTTCTTGAAGGAAGTTCCAGCCCATCGCATCTTCCTAGGAACATGTCGACCACGATCAGGGCTGTTGTGAAATAGGAGCTAAGGTAGCCTGGTGTCTTGACTTTTGGACTCTCCTCCGAACGCCTTGTAGGTATAGTTTGGCAATCTTGCTCACACATGGGTGTGAACCTGCGTGTACCCAGCCCGGGAGATACTGGAGTCTTTACAGGATTAGTACCCCTCATGGCTTAGAAATACCTTTTTTCCTTAGCTCTAAGGCCAGATCTACTGGTGCTAAGAGATAGCGTGTTTCTAACAGAAATTAAGTGATATAGTTAAGCATTCGGTGCATGCACTCAAACACACAGAGCCAGTGAGATAGAGGGTAAGCATTAGAGATACGGAAATGCAATTTAGTACTCAAAAAATTCACTCTAATGAGGAAATAGTCCAGCAAATAGGTAATTGCAGTTACCTGATTCATGTATTTTCTCGTTCTTCTTGCGTTAAAGAATGCGGTAGCCTCATAGCTGGGTACATTAATTTCATATTTAGTCGTGTGGGTTTTTATGGAATGAAGACATCATAGACTGTATAAAGACATCTATAAAAATAAGCCAGTTTGATGGGTTTTTTTCATCTTGAAGAATGGCATGTAAAAATATGCAAAGTGCTTTACGAGCACTTTGTAGATATCTTGGATTAGGTTTATATATTAAGAAACATCCCACAGGTAGAACTTGCCAAGTAGAGTGTGGCAATAAGCACTCAGGTTGTACTTGACAATCCTATGACTAAGACATTATCATTTGCCCTTTTTTGTATATAAAGATAAGGAAACATATAGAGAAAATACCGTATTGTCAAATAAGTATCACATTCAAGCTCACACAGTTGACAAGTATGGCACTACACAATTTTGTTAGACCATGTTCATTTACAGATTGCTTGACCACATTAAAACAGACAACATTGCTCTTAAAAAGATGCTGTAGGTTGGGTGCATTGGCTCAGCCTGTCATCCCAGCACTGTGGGAGGCTGAGGCAGGTGGATCACTTGAGATCAGGAATTTGAGACCCGCCTGGCCAACATGATGAAACCCATCTCTACTAAAAATGCAAAAATTAGCTGGGCATGGTGGTGCAAGTTCTGTAATCCCAGCTACTTGAGAGGCTAAGGCAGGAGAATCAGCTGAACCTGGGAGGCAGAGGTTGCAGTGAGCCAAGATTGTGCTACTGCACTTCGCCCTAGGTAACAAAGTGAGACTCTGTCTTTTAAAAAAGAGAAAAAAAGATGCTGTAGTATTGCAAGGCTAAGTAGGGAAAGCAAATGAAGTTCCTCAAGACTTCCAACATTATAGCTAAACTCTTGAGAAAAAACAGTAACCTACCAATTGGACATGCGGAATTCATTTAACCCAGCTAGGCCAAGCATGAGTTGAGGAAGTTAAAAACATTATCTGAGTTGTGCAGGTAACTGCTAAAGAACAGACTTCTTTAGTCTATTTTGCTGCCCTTAGACAAATGTAAGAGCCAGTACAGATGGAACAAAATGGCCTATGTGTAACTGAAAGTGATCAAGGCTGTCGTTTTGATGTTGGAGTATTAGGTACCCACGAAGACATTTTCTTGCCATATTGATGATACTATTTAAAACATAATATCTACAATAGGACCAGGTTTTATAGCCAAAGAGATTGTAAATATAATACCAGGTCAGACAGAGTGGGTCATGCCTGTTATCACAGCACTTTGGGAGGCCGAGGTGGCAGGATTGTCGAAACAGGTCAGGATGTCGAAACCAGTTTGGGTAATATAAGCAAGACCCTGTCTCTACAAAAAATAAAATTAGCCAGGTGTGGTGGTGTGTGCCTGTAGCCCTAGCTACTCAGGAGCCTGAGGCAGGGAAGTTTGCTTGAGCCCAGAAGTTCGAGAGTTCGAGGCTACAGTGAGTTGTGATCATGCCACTGCACTCCAGCCTGGATGAAAGAGTGGGACACTGTCTCCAAATAAATAAATAAATAAATAAATAAATAATCATATGTGTTACTGTGTCTTGATTTACAGTACTGTGTGAAACATCTCATCCTGTTGTTACTAAATAAATGATCAATGAATTATCCAAATTATCATACTCTGGTAAGCACATTTATTGAGAGAAAAGGTTCAAACACTTGCAGTGAAAGCTAGTTTCACTCACTTTTTTTTTGTTGTTGTTAGTTTTTGTGGATTTCACAGCCTTGTGCAAAACTGAATTCTAAAGAATTTAATGTTGCCAGTACTGATTTTCCTGAGATCTTAAGATAGGGGGTTAGTATGCTTTTGGAATTTTCTCTGGGGTTTTTAGTCTATGACTTATTAGCTTGTTAAAGCATCAAATGAGTGAGGATTGAATATGCCTGAAATAGCCTTCTTTGTTCCACGGCTGGTGATCACATGTATTGACCAGCAGCTGTCTTGCCGGGACATGCATCAAGCGGTAACAACATGATAACTACTAATGGAACGTGATATGCTGCCCCTGCCCTACCAATGTTAGATCATCATAAAGGAGATTGTGCTAATTATATAATCTAGTTAATTCCACACAAAGGCTCTCCCACAAAAGAAGAAAATATACTGTTGGTTCTTCCACTTATAATCATATTGTCCAGTTTTCTGGTGTGAATGCTAAAATCTGCCGCTTTTTGATTGACTACACGTTTATTCCCCCAGGATGCTACCTTATAATACATCATGGTCTTAAGGGAACATATGAAGGGCTAAATATGGCCCATATGGCCCATGTTAGCCTGTTTTTATTACTCATTTGAGGAAGCTAGAAAATTGCTGTTGTAACTGACATTTAGTTCACTTAAGCCTGGATGGAATAAATTGGCGTTACTCCACACATGGGAGCAAATTGTCCTGATGCTACCTTTCTCCAGTGATTTGAAATGTTATTTTCACTATATAGGAAATTATTTTACAGCTTTTTGTTGTTTCTGTGCTTTTTATTGAGTTCCATTGATCTTTGCATCTATTTTTAGAATAGCAATATTTTTTATTGTATTCTTTTAATTTTTAATATAAGCAAACATGTTTATCTTGCTTAAAAAATTTATGTTTATTTTTTCAGATTTACACACTAAGATTGTCTATTTCTTCAAAAAAAATCCTGCTAGGCTATTAATTGGATTCCCATTATGTTTATTAAATAATTTAGTGACACATTTTGACAATAAATCTCTATCCAGAAACAGGATTTTTGTCTCTTCGTCTTAAAGTTTTATTAATACACCTAATCTCTTCTATTTTTTTTTTTTTTTTCTGTTTCAATGCTTTGGATTGGAAAAACAGATTACGAGTTTAGGTATTATTTATAAAATAAGAGTAAATACATTCTGAGAATCTAAAGCGCGTTCAAAGCTTTCTTTTCCTCTACAGCTTTGAAAATACGGTACATGTGTTTCAGTGTATGGACTTCCTGAGACATGGTTTGTCTCTGCAGAGGCAATTTCTAAACTTTCAGCCTTGTGGGTGGGCATCTATCAAATGTGGGATCTACAGCAGTTTTATGCATCTAGTAAGGCATATATTACCCGGTCTTAAATTATTTGTGTATCTTCTATACCTGTTTCCTTTTGCTAATTGTGTTTCCAAAGGGCAGAATGCCTGTGATTATGTGCCTAATGGATTTTGGTTCCATTGAATTAACTAGTACTATACTTGTAATTCTGTAATGCAGCTCACCTCCATTTAAAAATATATATTTTTGGGCTGGGTGCAGTGGCTCATGCCTGTAATCCCAGCACTTTGGGAGGCCGAGGTGGGCGGATTGCCTGAGGTCAGGAGTTTGAGACTAGCCTGACCAACATGGTAAAACCCCATCTCTACTAAAAATACAAAATTAGCCGGGCATGGTGGCATATGCCTGTAATCCCAGCTACTTGGGAGGCTGAGGCAGGAGAATTGCTTGAACCTGGGAGGTGGAGGTTGCCGTGAGCCGTGATCACGCCATTGCACTCTAGCCTGAGCAACAAGAGAGAAACTCCATCTTAAAAAGAATATATATATCTCTCTCTCTCTGATTTACCTTCCGTGAGTGAAGATCTTTGAAGACAGGGTATGTGTCTTCCCGTTTTAAACTTTTTCCATTCCCTAGCCTCTTGAACAGTTCCATGACGTACTGTCCTAAATGCATGTTGGCTAGGTCGTGTTGAAATGACAAAGTAGCCTTTAAATAACAAAGCATGAAGAAAATAGTGACTTGGGTTTCTTGAAGAACCAGACTTTCTAAGGGATATTAGTGTTGTATATGTAACAAATGAGAACATTAAGAAAGATGTTTTATTTTATCAGCTATGTTGCCTGTTGATCATGTTAAAGAAAATTATGTTCATAAAGTGAAAAACTGTATTTTTTCAATCTCCTTCCCAACTCCTTTCAAATCAAGAGTATGTCTTGTAGCAGTTTCAAAGGTTAGGCATTATTTTTTCACAATACAAATACTTAACTCACTAAAATATTTACTTAAAATAATTTTTTAGAGTTAATATTATTAGTCTAATTATACATGACTATCTGTGTTTAAAATTCAAATACTAGATGTCATTCTTAGAAATCACACTTTGATACTTAGTTTCAACTTAAAGTTGTCTTACAAGGAAAATACGCTTTTGTGAAAAAGAGGAAAATGAGTTAAATTGTTACCTTAGATATCCTTTATCTAATGGTCTCTCATAAATTCTCAATTTTTTCTCATAATATAAATGAATTTGGGTTAAAAATAGGACTTT